TTCTAAAACGACGTGAACGAGCACACAGCTCAATCATTCGCTAGACAGAGCGTCGTGCAAGCCTAAAGCCTGATTAGACCGCGGCTCTTTGGTAGAGTTCTCCTAAAACCTAACTCAACAACCCACCAAACTAGTTCTGGCCTCGGCTCGTCGGTAACGTTCTTCGCGCGGTATTGTATCCAAGGATCGGCCCTTACGTTGCAGAAGCAACGACCGTATTGCTAACGAAATATAGAGGGAGAGGAAAAAAGAAAGAGAGAGAGAAAGCGTTCGCCACGAATCCAAGAGGCTCCCGGCTCTCCTTCCTGTAGCTTATTTCTAAGTAGCCCTCGCACGCTCTATATATAGGATAAGGTGATACAAATTTTGAACATGGCACAATTCTTAACAAAATAAGATTTTAATCCAAATTCGCGATTCACGTTTGATAACCTTGATCTCACTGTATGAAAAGTACTAAAGAAAATCGCCAAACAGGAAAAAATCAAACTTAAACCTCGAAAATTGGATTTAAATTTTATCTCGTTCAAAATTGTATTATATTCAAAATTGTATCACCCTATATAGTTAAGATTGTATACAAGAAAACCGTCCGGCAAGAAAAGCAACGTAAAATTTTTGATACTTAATCTATCTTATTAATTGTAGAGCGACAGAGAAATATTTCAAGAAGAATTTTTCGCAAATTTAGAATCAATATCAATATTTTCTTTTCTTAAAAATAACGAAAATATTTAATTCTATTTGATTAAAATATGTGAGAAAAAAATTTTAAAAATGCATTAAAATTTTGTGATGTTAAAATTATCCATACCAACAATTTGTAAAAATTCATATATACTTTTTGAAGATATTTTTTTCCGAAAATCCTATCTAACATATCATAAGAATTCTATTTGAAAAGATACAATCTTAGTCTTTCGACGATGTTTAGTCAGAATCGAATATATCGCCTTCACTTCACAAGGTTGCTTCGAAAAAAAAAGATACGTGTTTAATTTTAAGTTTTTTTCCAACATCTGAGACTTTTTCGCGTCGGTGAAGATTAGTTTGGACCGTTTTCTCACCAGAGAAGTTCAAGGGTGAAACGTGGTCTCTCAAACGGCGCTTCGACGCGATGCGTACATATACGTGCATTAACACGCTGTAATGAGATAGCCACCGATGGGCGCGAGAACGCACAAGAGGAGCTACAGAGTTGTCAATGAAATTTATGATCTGGATACCAGGCATGGCCGTGGAACGTGACGAGTGTGACTAACCGATTTTTCGGCGAGCGAGGCGACGAGATGAGAGAGCTGAGGAGATGAGGTTGGTGGCTATTCGCGATGTGTAAATTTTAACCTCGGAGAAGACGACGGTGGCGGTCGCGATGGCGGCGGAGGCGGTGGAGGCAGTTTCATACGTCACGCGCGCTCGCGCGCTCTCTCTCTCGCGCGCGCGCGACTATTCACGACCTTGACCACATTTCTTCTCTTCGGTTGCGGGAGAACCTGACCGACCGACTACTACTCGTGCGGGCGTGACTCGGAGCCTCCAAGTCAAGTGCCGGTCCAAATTCTCACGATCGACGGGATAAGTCGGGAACATTAGGTCAGGATCATACCGAGATGACGAGCTGGCATGAGAAGAGATCGACGCGAAAATACGATATGTACAGATTGTAAAATATGTTCTAATTTTTCTAAATTATTCACACAGAATCGTCTTTCTCTCTTTTGGATCCTGCCAACCTAAAGAACACACACACGTCATCGAAAAATAAAAATTACTTTATTTTGATTCTTAATGTTATTAAACAATCAAATTTTGTAATAAAACAATCATTTTGACTTTCTTTTGATTCTTGATGTGTTCCTTGGAAAAGCGTATTTTTTATATAATCTATAGAAATTTTGTAGTCTTAGTGTTTTAAATTGGTCTGCAAAATATAACAATGTTATTAATTTTGTTTATAAATAATTTCTTGTATAGAAAAGGATTAATGTTTTCCAATAAGAACGTTTCAAATGTTACGAGCGTTAATTTTTTTTAGTTTCTCGATAGGGGATATTTTCTACGAAATTATCAAGCTAAAGTACAATATATTTAGAGGTTTGAACGAAGGGTAGAATAGTCGTTTTAGTTATAGTCGCCGGCAGTCTAGCGATTAACGGATACGTTCAGCCGTCTGACGTTTCGTCACGCATAGTTAACTTCCACTCAGCAGACAATTTTTGCGCGTCGTATGTCTCGAAAAGTAACATCGATGGATAGAAGCCAAGATATTAAAGTCTTATACCGAGGGGGGCGAATGTTAACAGAGCCTTGCAATTATTGTTTGTAATATTCTACTAAATTTTTTAATATAGAAATTTACTATGCAACAATACAAAAAGCATCAGGCATGTTAAAATAAACTACTTTTGGTGTTCAAAATTTAAATCAATATTTTTTCTAAACGTGACCCATACGAAAGAAATTTTACAAAATTTCCTTTATCTGAAGAAATAATTTTTAGGAGAGCAATTATCGAAAATTTTAGGTGTCAAGTAGAAAACGCTACTCTTATGTTTATTCGAACGTTCTGCTTTCCGAGAACCGTCTTACGAAATAAATCCCTCGAGTGTGCACGTAACTTTCGTTTTGGCGGGAAGAGTCAGACCCGTAATCGAAGCGATCGACAACGGTTGGTCGACGCGTGTGATTATCAGCAACTTATCGCGGAGGCGAGCACACAAACGTGACCTTGTCGCTTCATAACTAGCGCCATTTTGCGATGCTACCTACTACGTGGATAATAGCAAATTTAATTGGACACGCTATTGCATATTAAAGCGGTTGTACATTGATTTGATCTGTGTAAAAATAAAATACAAATATTTCGAATTATAAAGTACAGATTTTACTTAACGGCACAATTAAATGTATTGAGGTTTAATCTGTTTTTATATTTATATTAAGCACATATGTCAATTTGTGTACGATGGCACACTTTAATGTACACCAGTGAGTGCATCCAATCGAATTCGTTATAAGTTTTTTATGAAAGTGGAGCAGACGAAACTTGTCTTACTCTATTTCGAGAAAAATTAAGGTAACTGGCGAAATACTTCAATCTGACAATTTTCTTCGATATGTTTAATTCAGAAGCATAATTAAATGAATATCGAAGCGATAATCGTATGTATATATATATATTATATCTTCTCCATGTGATTTAATAAGACTATTTTGTGTAACTTTGTTGTCCTAATTCTTGAGATATAAAAAATTAATATTCTAGTAGCAATTTATTGGTGATATATTGTTTAACGTTGAGCCAACATTGTGTCAATAAATTGTGCTGCCAAGATACATTTTATGACAGAACGTGCGCTTATTCTCAGAGTTAATGTTTGGAATATTATCACTGGTAATCGTATAGCAGCTTGATTTCGAAATAAACTTTGACGAGATAAGATACGTCACTTTTTCGGAATCTGACACTCTCATCGGATCTTTTAACACGAGTCGAAGCACACGACGTGATTTGGTGAAATGGAAAAGAATTTGTGTGCCGCGTGTCGAGGACGCTCAAACTTCGTGGTTGCGAAAGAATCGTCTTTTTTCGGCGGAAACCGAAATTGGTGATACAGCTATTCTCAAATATAATCTCGTGTTCGTTGTTCATGAATGGAGCCATGGAGGAAATGAGTGGTCGTGCGAGATATAACGTCAGTTTCGCGCGCGTTCACGGTGATATCCTAATTCTGCACGACCATAGATTCGCTCGTCGCACGAATTTCACGTCGGTTATTCGGAAAGTTTCAATCTCGTCCGAACGATAAATAAAGCCAAAGAGATTTAAATACGTACAGTGCTATTGAAAAATATTTTTTATATTCGTTTACACATCACTATTTATCCATTTATCACCAACACGATCGAATGAGTCGTTTAAATTGTTAAATCTCTTTTCACTGGTCACAAAACTCGTACTTTTAAATATTAGCGATAAAAGTTGTGGCAGTAAAAATTAATGTTTTCATTAATGCAAAAGTTCTTAAATTTCTCTTCACATGCAAAACGTAAGGTTATTCCTATAAAGCCGCTAATTGTCAATCATTCTAACGTTATGCTAATTATTTGCGAATTTGTGTTTAATGTTTCTATACCTAAGTAACTAGAATTGTAAGCTTTGATAATATCGACAGTTTTGTTTGTCACATCGACAGTCATTATTTTGTTACGTTTCGGAGAGAGTATTTCGATCTCCTCCAACTTCACGTTAAAGCGCGTCGTCTATCGGAAAAAAATTGACGGTCAACTATCGATGTGACAGTAACCTGACAGATATGTATATTCAGAAAAAATCTTTCAAAGGATTTGCCAAGATATATTGGCTATCCTTTTGAAACGCTTAACGAAACATTTGTGTTCTAGCATTTAGAAAATCTATTGGAAGCATGCTGCGCAAATTCTTACATGTACTCGGCCTTAAGATCTAGCAAAAAGCATCTAAATGAAGCATAGCGTGTTGAATATCATTGTAAAAGAGGTTCATTTTCAGCACTATTGAGCATACAGGAAAATCTGGATATTCAGGATCAGGATAAAGCAGAGGACTCAACATTAATTCGATCATCCAGGCAGCAGGATCCTAAAGATCCTGCCTTTAGAATCTTCATCTTTGCGCTAAGATATAAAGACATTATTATAAATAAATATCAATGAACAAATCGACTAATATTTATGGTTTATAAGCTCAAGGGAAAGTTACATAAGCTCGAGGGAAAAGCAATAGCATAGATGGCAAAGCGGTAAAAGTTTTATTAGTATACAAATAATTGGCAAAGCAGATATGAAGCAGATGGATGCTCTTCTTCGATTTCTTCTTCTCTCCACTGTTGGTCAGGCAACCAAGCCGGCCGCCGTCGTCGTCGTCGTAGTCATCAGGATGAAAAGCAATGTATAAAGCATGTATAATCGGAAGCATTAAAAGCAGCGTTAGCATAATTAATGTGATAGGAGCAACTCACCGTTCAGCTTGTCGATTGCCCGATCGGCTGGGGACTGATCGGCACAGTCGACGAAGGCGTAGCCGCCACGCTTTACCAGGATCGTGGTGCATGCCAAGCTGTGCTCCTGGAAGAGTTGCCTGAGAGCGCTCTCGTTGCAATCTGACGGCAGATTGCCCACATAGAGCTTTGACATGGTGGCTGGCTGCTCGCTTCTCGACGCTATGATGCCGGCTTCCACCGAGTACGCGGCTCGGTCACGTGTATCAGGTTCAACGAAAACGGTGTGCGACGAATTCGCAACGGTGCGCGTGCGCGCGGACTCGCGTACCCGATTCCCCGAGTACTGACCTCGTCGTAGACTCGGGGTCTACGTGGACCCGGCGGGAGTTGAGTTCAGTGGTTTGAACGCGGACACGGCACGACACGACGACGGGGATCGCGACGACGGGGATCACAGGGACGATGATTGAATGGAAGGAAAACGGAGTATACGGCGTCACCGCGGCGATAACGGAGCAATCACGCGGGTTAGAGGAGCTGCAGGCGTCCGATCCGATGGTAGTATATCCTTATTACTGGGACGAGACGCGGACGAGAGATAACTGTTGAATATATGTGCTGAATCCCGGACACGAACGTGGACCAGATCGCGGATCGCGTGTGGGTCACGGGCTGCACACGCGAGAGGCAAAATGCACGGGGTGAGAGAGAGAGCACGGGGTCCTTGGACGACTTCTGCGACGAGATCGGTCCTCGATCGGGCTTGGCACCTTCTTTTGTTTTCCGCTGCTGGCTTCCTCGCGCCTCAACTGGCCGACTGCGAGTCGCTCGATCCGCGGATAGGCGACGACTGTGTGTACGGTCTCTTTCTCTTTTTCTCACTCCCTCTCTTTCTCTACTTTTATCCGTCTGTCTCTCTGACAACTCAAACGCGGCGCTGTTGCGCGAATCTGACGCGCTTCCGGTGGCTGTCCGTCAGCAGCTCGATCGCAGAAACCGACGACGATGGAGACCGGCCGGCGTGTCCTCGCAGAAATGGCTCTCCCCGATTGCTCCAAGTTTAAGGGACGCGCGCGTTCACCAAGTTTCTTCCGTCTCTTTCCCTCACGTCGACTCGCGGACTGTCCAAGGAATTCCCCCACCCCCCTCTCCCTCCCGTATCTCACTCTCTCTCGCTCTCCTTGCGACGACGACGTACCTTCCTTCCAAGCTCTCTTCTCTTTAGCTAGACCACGATGTCCAAGGGGCTCTTTCGTTCGGGGCATGTTGTGCCCCTCTTTCTGTCTTTTTCCTTCACCCCTTTACCTCCCAGGGCAGAGAGGGGAGGGGGGCAGTCGAGACGCGATGCAAACTCGTCTCTCTTCTTCTTTTTTTCCTCTACCATGGTTAGTTCTCTCTCTCTCTCTTTCTTTTGCGAATTCGTGACTATCCTTGCTCGCGCGTGCACCTCCTGCTTTCTTCTTCTTCTTCTTCTTCTCTCTCTCTCTCTCTCTCTCTCTCGTCCGTCTCTCTCGTGCGCGAACGCAAACGCGGTGTACCGAGCGGGAAACCAACTCGAAATCCACCAGCGATGGAGCGCGGATTGGCCGTTCGTTAACCACGTGGGTGACCCCACCGATTCCCGCCTCTGCTCGCCATTGGCTGCTTTTCGCACGCCGGTTTTCGCAGCCGAGTACGCGCTCCGTCTGCGTGCATGCGTGCCTACCATGCGTGCACGCGAGCGCGTGAGCGTGCATGCGTGCTCACTCGCTCGTTTCCTCTCGCGGCTTTCCTCTTTCTTTCTCTCTCGTTCCCTCTCGCCTCGCGCCAATCGCGCACACACTGCGAATGTGCGCTCGTACGTACGAGTGCGTTACACATGTGTGTCCTCACTCGCACCTCTACGCTAGGTCTGCAGAAATCTACCGGGTGTTTTTGGAAAATCGTCAGGTCCTTGAAAGATTTTACAAAAATCTTTGACACGCAAAATCGTTGTTTGAAAAACTTGTGGGAAATGGCGTAGATACTTTTGATATTTTTTTTTAATATCGAAAGTTTGAAACACATATGTCGTTAAACATTTCAAAAAGACAGCCAAAATATTTTAATAAGTCTCATTAAAGATTTTTTTATATGATTCGCCACGTCTTTGGCATATTAACAATTATAAACAAACTATAATTGCGATAAAAATTGATTATTTAGTATTCATTAATTTTATTGACAAATTAGCGAAAAGTGAGAACGCAACATATATAATTTCAATTAAGGAACAATGTATTTTTGTGATTCTTATTGTTTATCTTCTAATTCATATTTCTATAGATATCATATTTGCATCATATTTTTTATAAATACAAGTTTATCCTAACTTTATGAGAATTACGAATGAAATAGTTGTCCTATGAATCTTTCCCATAAATTTTCACAACATTCTTTATTTCAATATCATACAAGTTAATTTGAATATATAAATATTACAATATCGCGAAAATTTCTTAATTATTGTGAACAAAGTTAATGTTTCATATAAGAAATCTTTTGTCTAAATTTCTTTAGGATGCTCGAATTCAATTGAGTAGTAGTGCACATGATATACATGATACTTTACAGCGTGTGTAAAGATTTCGCTGGAGGAAACGCGGTAGATAATAATATTCAAGACCGTGCGAGCGCGTTACAATGTAGGACGAATTACAATATGAAACGCCGTATGTCGGTGTTCCATTAAAATTAGGCTGCTGAGGAGAGCATGCTAATTATTCCGCGGGCTCCACAAAAGTTCCTTCGCCCTGTTTCTCTCGCCCGACGATCCTGCCGTCCTTGCGCACCATACATCTCTCTCTCTCTCTCTCTCTCTCTCTCTCTCTCTCTCTCTCTCTCTACCTCTTTCTCTCTTTCTTTCTTTCTCTTTCCTCCTTTGCCTGCGCAGGGATAGACAAATCCCACTCTTAGAGTGTGTGCCTCTTACAAAAGGGGTGGAGTGAGACAGCTGGCCGTGTGCCCAGGGTCAGGGTACTATGCTCGAAGCCATGGAAGAGGACGAAAAAAGGAAGAAACCGCGCCCATGTTGTTTCTATTCACCTGCCCGTACTCGAACGCCAAGCAAAGATGTCGTTAATAAATTACGATTAATTAGCGAGAAGCGAGAAGCGAGAGCGCGAGCCGCCAGCGACCGCGGTTTAATTACTGTGACGTCAACGACACCGTCCGCATTATACAATTCACAAACGTCGTAATGTCGTGTATTCACGATGTTATCCGAGAAATGCGGGGAAGCTAGAAAAAGAAATACTAATGAACTTTTTTTTTTTTTTCGGGAAAAATTTCTTCAACTCCAACGCCAGCGGAGTTATATCATTACATGACACATGTTTTCTCGGCGTTTTTCCCCCAATTTTATTCTTGTTTTCAGATTATATTCTACTTTTTTAAATATTCTATTTTTTTCTTTTTTGTACGTTATTATATAGAGAAAAGCCCCCCATTATGAGATAGGCGCCTAATATGCAGGGTTGGGTAAGTTAATTTTTTCTTTTAACTAAGTTAGGTTAAAGTTAACAACCTTGAAAATTTAACTTAGTTAAGATACAAGTTAATGTATAATGAAATTAATTGAATTAAAAGTTAAGTTAATAAAGAAAAATAATTGAAAAATTAAAAGTTAAATTTCTTTCTATTTTATGATTTCAGAGTCTTACAAATAACGGAAATGACAAACATATACTTCATTTAGAATATACTCTATAATACGGTTTTTGCTAGATTGAAATCAATATATATAATGTAAATAATATATACAAACAGAACTTTTAAGTAAAATATAGAGTATGTTCTAAATGAAGTATATGTTTGAGTCTGAGACTTTAACTTCAAAAAATTTAAATAAAAAGTTAACAGTTATCGATAAAATGTAACTAAATAAAGTTAAAAAGTCAAGAGTCTAAAATGTAACTAGTTAAGTTAAAATTATTTAACTTTTCAACTTTTTAACTTAACTTTTAACTTTTTAACTTGACACTACCCAACCCTGCTAATATGAGATAGCGGCGTTTCTGCTAAACTAATAAACGCTATCTCTTGGTTCCACCATGAATTTATTGCTCTTGGATTGAAAACTATTTAGTAGAAAATTTATTATTAGATCATGCCTATAATCATTGTAAAAGAAGATTTTAGAATTTGGATGTCTTCAAATTTCATTGAGATGAGCCTTTAAACCATGTTTATTATTTAATAAATAAATATTTGGCAATAAATTCTTCATGTAGTAATAGAATAAGGTCGTACTAATAGAAAAATACGGGGTATGTTGAATTGTTTAATTACAGAAGTTACATTTGATGATCGTAAAACCATAAGACGTGAAAATCGTAATGTGAGATATCCAGGGTATTTCTAATATGAAATAACCCATGCTCCTATATTATAGTGAAAATCGTTGCTAAAATATAAATATTATTGTAATAATAAAAAGGACAACCGAAACGAATGTCGAGTGCCTATTTCTGTGATGCTTGATTCCAACTACCTGAAGGCGAGTTCTGGATACAATCTATCGCATGCTCACTTTTCGCGCACGCTGGTTGTGTTTGTTTGTATTTTAGAAACATTAAATAAAATTTTTTAATTGCACAATACTGATATACTTTGCGTTTTATTATCGATTTCTCGGGGCATCTCATATTAGGAGCACAGCTTTTTGACTTTGCGATTTGTTCACTTTTTACATTTCTTTAATTAAAAAAAAATGGAATTTGAATTAAATTATATATATATAACGTTATCTTAAAACTTATTAAATTCCCTTCAAAATGACCTATTATTTTTTTAAATTTTGCCTATAGACTTCTAGCATTTACCCAAAATGAATTCGGTATCTCATAATAGGAGCCTTTCCTCTACCATCACTCGTAAAAATGTATGTATATGAGTAGACTGCGGAAGTTTATGCAAAATACTTAACTGAATGTTTTGCATAAAATGCATATTTTGCAATTTTGTAAATTTACAGATGGGAATCTCAATCTTTTTAATTCACCTTTTAATAACTCTTTAACGAACAACGGTTGACTGCTAAAACTGTCCGATAGTTAATATTCAGTTAAGTATTTTGCATATAGTTCCGCAGTCTATATATGAGTGTTCATGAAGTATAAATGTTTGTGAATGTGTCCGCAGTGTGTTAAGCTCCGGTCTACGGTTTTGCTAAGATCTGACTGTGCAATCATCCTTGCAGTTACTATTGAATTGTTCTTTACTTCTGTTTAGTATTTGGATATTATAAAATAATTATTATTAATAAAACACACTTATGAGAACCAAAACATTTTAATTTCTAATTTTTCTAATTCTTGTCTTTATGCTTCTCTATGCGAATTCATAACAATTGCATTTGATCTATATAGTTACCTATAGAAGCGGCTTGAGGAATTTGATCGAGGATGATTCAAGTGAGTAAACATGAGTAAAGAGCAAACAACTACATTTATAGCGCATGTCTTATAAAATAATATCGTTAAACGCTGTTTAGTTCAATTCTTATTGTTGTACATGTTTACGGTAGTAAACACATTTGTTTATAAATTAACGTAGGGTAAAATCAGGGATTATGGCATAGGCTACTAATATGGAATAGTGGCTTATTTTTTAAACAAAGCATTGCAATCTGGCGGCAATCGCTGAAAGTTATTGCAACTGTTACCAAACATGTCATAATAAACAATGAACTCGGTCCGACCAACCGTTTTGCTACAATTAACATTTATTCATTTTCGTTACGTCAGAAGATTCGGCAGCTTTTTCTAAAATGTGTTCTCACAAACTGAAGGTAAGTTTTTTTAATGCTTATATTGCACAGATGCTTTTAATAATGTTGCATGAACAATATTATGCAGATTAATTGCTATTTCAAACTTGTTTATTACTACGGAAACACTTTATTTGTCATATGACGACATGCAGGTAATGTGGAATACATCGAAGGTTGAGAATATGGAATAGATTCCATGCATATTAGCAACTTATTCATGATCAGATTAGGTTAGGTTAGATTACAGCATGTATTCTATATCAGTTTATTTGCGATTTTTTATTTAT